TTTCACAAATGACGGCTCTTGTAAATGCGTTGAAGAAGGATTATTTAGGTCCCGTAAATAGTCGGCCGCATTTTTTAGGGACATGTAATCTTTGTTTGATAACTTCTCGAACTCATCGAGAAGAACTTTCTTAATTGCAACTGTGCGATCAAACAGTTCCTCCTCGTCCTCCCATGGATCCGACTTCGGGTCGACAACCAACGTTCTCCAGAATGGATGTAACTGCTGCGGATAAAAAGTATCTCCCTCAGCAATTTTAACTGCAATCATACACGCACACGGGAGTCCGTGGGTTCGGCTTAGGTAACAGTTGCAACTATCCGGATTCTCTTCCAACTTTTCGTACTCTTTATCCAACAGGTCCAGTGCTTTGTGTGATACGTTACATACAAAAGCACCGAAGCACGGCAGTGAAATACTGTCATCATGACTGTTCTACTTCTCTCGTTTTTCACCTTCAATTCATTAATTTGAATTGAAGGTCAACTTGCGCATCTAGTGCATTTTGAACTGTATCCATAGCTCCAGTCGATGTTTGGATCCAACGCTTCGATGCACGATGTGCACTCTCTACCCTGTTTCGAGAAAACACTCAAATAATGAATAAATGTAACACGTGTATAAAAGATTGTACGTAACGAGTTTATAGTAAAATCAATTTATATACCTGTTAGTCGTCATGTTACCGAAATGAACGATGTTGTTGGTCCAACACTTAACAAATCTCTCCTTATAAATCAACCACGTTTCATTGATGTAAGTTATCAACTTCAGATATTGCCCGTACAAACTAACTATCTCTCTATAGTTGCATTCGTATTCTTCCTCAGTCTCAGATTCGACTAACTTTGCCCACACCGTCCTCCGGAACAGTACACCCAACTTGGTGTTACCCAAGAATTTTGACGCGTTTGCCTCAACGTTTCTGTTTAGTGATATAAACATAACATGTGATGCGAATGTGGAAACACGTTTGGCAATGCTTTCAGTAGGCCCAACTCACGATCTGTCAGTATCATTTCTGGTTCTATCCCGATTGGTAATATGTATCGCAAACATCGTAATGTCCATGCATAAGTGTCCTCATCTTCACGTGACATAAAAGCAACGGCAATAGTGAAGTTCCTTCCCACGGGAGTAACCCCAATGATCTCCAAAAGAGGCATTTCATATCTACATGAAGGTAATTATAATTTAGTCAACTCTTATATATATATATAATATAATAAATGTAATTCACATTTAAATAATTATTACCTGTTAGTCTTGTACGTGCAATCCATCAGGATGACGTATGGAAATAACTGCAAAAGCTTTAATGAATCAGGGTGCGCAAACATAACGTCTTGCACTGCATCACCAGCTAGATTTGTTCAATGCCATTTGCTGTATCCACTCTTACTTAGTTTGTGCCACAGATGTTGTATAACTGTTTTTCCTTTTATTTCCTCTCGTCTAATTCTCTGTGATTCATTGTACACATTTCTCAAGGCCGCAGCCGTATCCGGATTCATCTCTCTCAGATGATGCAAAATTTCCTTCGGCTTCACATGGCTCTTTTTCAGTATCTTTGTCACTTCTCGTTGCTCTTCACTCAGGCGACTTAGCGAACGTAGTCCTTGTGGATATTGATGAGGAAAATGATTGTGATTGCCATCTTTGATGGTAAGGCGCCATAATCCATCACGACCCTCTTTACCCCATAGCGCAAAAGGGCATTTACACTTTATTGAACCGGACTTCCGGCTTGTTTTGACCTCTGCATTTTTTCCTCGTCTCTTATAGGCTCTTTTACAAGTCAAATATTGTCGGCTCTCGTGGTAAGACTGTCGCCTAATCTCATGTCCTTGACTGATGGCCATATTCATCGCCCACTCGACTAGTGCATCTTTACTATCAAATGCAGTCGAAATTGTGAAAAATTCACTGTAATCATGTAGCTCGAATGTTTCAATATCTTCATCAACATCTATGTATACTTCCTGTTTTTATATTAATGTAGTTAGCAAATTATAAAACTAAAGAATAAAACTCAAATAAAAAAAAAATTAAAAAATTGTGTTGCTCGTGTGATTTCACACGAGCATACCTTCTCTGTTCGTGTGAAATCACACGAGTGGGTTAAAAAAAACATTTTTTTTAGAATTTAAAAAAAAAAATTAAATAGCTCGTGTGATTTTAAACGAGCAGGTGCCACCTGTTCGTGTAAAATCGCACGAGAGAATATTAGGTAAATAGTTATGGTAAAAAGGTAAAAAATCATGATAAAAAAATGCCTGAATGTTTAATTTGGACTGCGTATATTATTACCCTTCTTTTAAATAGTAGAAAGGCCCGAAAACGTGAAAGTTATTGTGCATAGTCATTGTACAAATAAACTATTATTGTTTAGAGTATGGTCCCAACTTACAAAAAAGTACTATGGTCAAATTGAATTTATTTACCAACCCTCACTAGGAGAGTTGGTACCTAGCCTTTACCAATAGGGTAATGGTCTAGGGTTCGAGTCCCCCCCTCCCCTACTTCCCCTTGTAATGGACTTGAATTTACTCAAAAAAAAAAAAAATTGAATTTATTTACAATTAACAAATTAAAAGAATATGTAATTAAATTAAGTGATTGTGTTACTTTTTCATCGCAAGTACAACCGCGAGATGTGGGTGGGCATGCATGTGAAAAACTGCAGTCAGGACATTCACAAGTTATTATAACATGAATTTCATTAGTTAATCAACTAAGATCTCGATTTGGTTTGGTTGTCAAAATAAGATCAGTTAAGATAAAATTAAATAATTTAATGAAATTCAATTGTATTACTAGACTTTGGAATGTCCGATAAAAAAACAAGTCTAGAAGACACGAGAAGTCATAATATCATAATATTATTAAAGATACCAAACATCAAATAAAATTCAATGATTTAGTTAATAATGGTTAATCTATCTAATCAAACGAGGCCTAAGGCTTCTCGTGATATTTCAATTGTACAATAATATAATCATATTATATGTGAGAGGTTCAATATACAATTCTTCAATAAATAAGAATAAGAGCTCTTTTTTGTTTTGGTAATTGTGGTCGATTTAAAATTTATTGAACATGCCAAATATGTAACAAAGCCAATTATTTAATTAAATGAAATGATAAATGCATGAAAAAATTTAGTACACAGAATGACAATTTTTTTCAATCACAACACCAATTCATCTATAGATCTAAGAATATAAATCCTACAATTTCACTCTTCAATTATAAATTATTACATGATTTTAAATTGTAAGGTCAGAGCTCGTTGTGCATGGCTTACCAAGAGCAATTTGATTCACACATCTCGTGTGATTCATATGCTATTACACGAGAATGAAGTTTACTCAGTGCATATTTACGATTGTAGATTCCTTTTGGAGGAAGAACAACACAATTCCTAGAAAATTAAACTAAAAGAAGTGCAAAGAAAACTAATCAATTGAATTAAAATAAAATGGCTATAGCAAAAAGTGATGAATAAGAAAGCAAATAGGGGGATGGTGGAGCATGCTTTAATTTGGTGCAAAGAATGAGGCTATATAATAGTGTGATCATAAAATGGTACATGAGTAAATGATTTGAGTCTATAATGTAATCATAACTCTAAAACCATGAATGAATGAGAGGTAGTCAACTTATTCCACCAAGAAGAAAAATGTGTAATTTGTTGCCTATTGTGACTATCTAATACCCCCTAGCACACCTATTTGTCCCCCCAGTATTATTATTTTGTTTTCAGAAAAATTAAGTCTTATTTGATTGGAGAGATTAGTCATAATTAATTAAATAATTAGACTTTATTTGATACTTGATATTTTCAATAACTTGTCGAGTCGATCTGTAACTGTTATGTTATCTTGACTTATCTCGCCTTTTAGAAAAAAAATTTGTTGGACATTCTGGAGTCTGATAAAATAATTAAATTTTAATTAGATTATTTAATTTTATCTTGAAAACCAGATGAGATCTAAATAGATTTGAAAACCTAGAAGCCAAAATATGCACCAAACAATTTTGATGGGACTGTCTCAACTGAAGATCTTCCAATGTACTCATTACGTCACATATTATATGTCATTTTGGGTGGTTGTGCGTGTATTAAGATAAATAGTCAATACATATGCATAGATTATACCAAAAATAACATAGTAAATGCTAAAATATCCTTGTAATTAATTATTTTTTAATTAACTAATTAAGAGTAATAAGAGGTAAATTTGATTAAAAAAAACTGAAATTCTAAATCACACACTAATTTTTACCAAATCATGCACATAACTAAAAATATTTATCTCTTTAACATCTTATCTTCTCCTTCTCCACCCTTCCTTTTTCCGAAATTTTTCACAAAATACACACTAAGAACATCCCTGGCATTCCAAGTTTGAATTCGACAAAAATCTTCACATGTTCAAACTAAAATAAAGTTGGAATTTGAGGAAAAAATTCGAATTGGTATGAATTTGAATAATTAAAAAGGCTTAATGAAATTGAATAAATATTAAAACTCATTTTTTATGATTATTCTCGTAAAAATTAATGAATTTTGAGTGACTTGGATAAAATCATTTTAGAGAGAAGTTAGAGAGAATATGAGTAGTGAGAGGATTTTTTTAATTTATGTGTGAGATTTAGTAAATATTAGTGTGGGATTTAGCATGCCTAAAAAATGCAATTAATATTTTATTGGAACTCTAAAATGACAAATAAATTGGAAGAAAAAACACCCCAAAAAGACATAATATGAAACGGATTGAGTAGTACTTCTATAATACTCCATTTATAAATAATTTGAGAATGATTATTGTCTTTTAATTAATACACATTCAAAATAATGTATTCATTATTAGCCATCAATTATTACATTTTATTAAAATGAAAAAGTATAAAAATCTAATTTAATTTCATTTCAATTGACTTTTACCAGATTCACCCAATCTTTTGCCTGCCTGATTTAACCTAATTTATTTCCCATCATGCCAATTTTCCGGATGAATCAATTTTGTGTCATATTCATCCATTTTTTTCATCATGAACCATCCTTTTAATCACAATCATACTATTTCCATAATTAAAAGGAATAAAATTTTGGGAAGCAATTTCCATTATGCAGTTGGGTTATGTATATATCTTCAAGAACCATTAAATGTAATGCAAAATTAGGTTACTAATGCATCTTTGCCAATTAACATTGAAAGTTCAAATTATTTAGCACCGAAACAAGTTTATTCATTGTACATGTAACAAAGGAAAAAAACGTACTATTACAAATAACTTTTAAATCGAGCTCGTTGCACATAACTTGCCCAATATGTGACGCATTTCTTGTGTGGTTTATGAACTACTGCCAAAAAACAAAGTTTATCCAATCCTATATGTAGTTGCGGGTTCCTTTGTGAAAATAAATAAATAATATTATTTTATGGGATGTGATAAATATTGTTTCAGTTTCAATAATACCGTTTCGACTTCAAGCGTAAATTTGATCAATTTCGAGTCCGAATTCTACAACACCCAAAACAGGGAAGTTGTGGCCTTGAATTAACTTTCTAAACCAACTTGAATTATCAAAATTGAATGTCGGGTTAAAAGGATCTACATGAACTAAGGAACAATGCACACAACTTTAATGTTTTGAGCTATTTAAAATTTAAAATGTAACTCATTCATGCATAATTTTGTACACAATATCCAATCTAATTGATTCAAATTGTATTAGAAAGTAGAGTCAAATACTGCAATTTTTTTTTAATTTCACTAATCTTGACAAAATCAGACTAGAAAATAGTCAAGAATACATTCGAAGTCAAAATGATATTAATAATATTGAAACTAAAACATATTAATAATATTGAAACGATATTTAACATTTCAATATTTTTATTTACTTCTTGTATTTGGCAACTTTAAGGAGATAAAAACAAATTATATAAGAAAAGAGATCCAATTTGAACCTCTCCCCATGCACCATGGTTCAAATTTCAAGATTCAAAACTAAATGAAATAAACAAGTCCCCAAGTACCAACTCAATCAACCCATCACAACAAAACAAGACAAAAAAAACAAACCTTAAAATATTATATATACCATAACTTAGTATATACTATAGTATTATTATTCATGGTATGTGACAAACATTATAATAAAGAAAAAAAAAAAGTACAAAAATACCCTTATAAAATTCTACAAACCCCTTTTTTTCCTGCAGATTTATACTATGAAAAAAAAAAAACAAAGACAGGTCCACATGCAGACCACACCAACATGTTGTCATTAGGACAGAATTCTTTACCCCATTCTACCCATTTTACCCCTGCAATCCACCAACATTTACATTACAGTACATGCATTTGGATTCTCATCACTAAACATTTGTGGGGGATAAGCATTCATCTCTTGCACAATCCTCTGGTGGTACATTTGGTGGTAGTTCTGTGGGTGGTTATAGTAAAACTCATTCTTTCTCACCTCCAATTTACCCTCCTCCGCCTCCGCCGCCGCGGCCTCCGGCGGTGGAGCGGCGGCACCACCACCACCACCAGCTTCCTTGTTTTCCTTCCCCGCGGAGGCGGCCTCTTCCACTTTCTTGGCTTCCTTTTCGCCTTCCTCGGCTTTCTTCTCTCCCTTTTTCTCCTCGTCTTTCTTCTCGGGCTCGACTTTGATAACCGAAGCGTGCTTCCCGGTTCTTTTGTAGACGTAATCCGCGAGCTTTTCGGGCTCGAAAATTCCCTTCACCGTCACTTGTGAGGCTTTGAGGTCTGGCTCTGCACTTTCCACTCCTACAATATATATATTTCAATTTTCAAATACAACTTGATTTTTTTTATTTTTTTTAACATAAATTTATACTTTTAATTAACAAAAGTGGTGTGGGAATTGAATTGAGACCTCGGATTTGAACATGATGGAATTCATTCAGACAGAATCTTGATAATTAAATATTACTATATTCCAAATACAAGAGAATGAAAACAATTCTCTTTTTGCATATACAGCTGAAAAGGGCTATATTAATAATTATTATTATTATTAAATAAATTTGTAAAAAAAAAAAAAAAAAAAAAAAAAGAAGGGAAAAAAAACACCTTTAATTTTCTGAATGCGTTTTTTGATTTCTTGGGCACAAGCTTCACAATGCATGTAAACACCCAACACCACTGTAATAATCACCGGAGGCTGCAAAAACAAGAACATAACACAAAAATTAATTAAATGAATTTTCTAACCTTAATATTTCCGAAGAACAAAAAAAAACAAAAAAAAAAAAAAACCTCCTCTTTTTTCTCCTCAGCTTTGACCGCCTCTTTTTGTTCATCTTTCTTGGGCTCCGGCGCCGGAGGTTTTGGGATCGGAGAAATAAGCTCAACTTGACGGTGGCTCTTCCGTTGAACCCTCTCCAATACTTTTATTGGATCTGCTTTTTCACCTTTCACCACCACTTTACTACTTCTGCAATCCGTTATCACTTCCTCCACTCCTGTAATTAATTAATCATTTTTATTTTATTTTTTAATTAATAAATTAATATTTTTTTTTTCAATTAATTAAATTGAGATAAAAAATTACATGCATCACTAAATTTTGAAAACGGACATAATTTTAATTTTTATTTACCTTCGAAGCCTTTGAGGCACCGGCGGACTTTTCTAGCGCAGCCCTCGCAGTGCATGAAAACCCTAAGGACGATTTCCTGCGGCGGAGGAGGCGGCGCCGCCGCCGCCGCCTTGGTCTCGTCGGATTTCTTCTCCTCTTTCTTCCCATCGTCAGCTGGCTTCTCCGCCGCCGCCGCCGCCGCCTCTTTCTTCTCTTCCTCTGCCGGTTTTTTCGCCTCCTCCGGTTTCTTTTCCTCCGCCGGCTTCTTCGCTTCCTGCCGGAAACAAATCAGATAAAAAAAATGAGCAACAAATCACCAAACAAAACATTAAAAAAAAAAAATCAAAATTACTGACAATTAGGAGAGAGAGAGAGAGAGAGAGAGAAGACCTCGCCCATTGATTTTAGTTGATTGTTCACTGATAAGAGATGAATGGAAGAGCGAAGAAGAAATTGATGAATACACACACAGAGATACACCTTGAGTGTGTGTTTTTGCTTGCTTACTCACACACTACACACCAGAAATGAACACGCAGTAAAATTGGGGGTTATCAGATCTAGAGGCAAAATAAAAAAAATGGGGGTGGTGTGTCATCATATATAGGTGACGTGGCTTTTATATAGTAGGTGGCACGTGCGGTGGTGGCGTACCTGGCTGAAAAATCCCTTCTGAAACGGCGCCGTTTGGGTTACACTTTCTATGCAGCAATACTTTTTTTTAACCCATTCTTGCCACTGTTTAAAGATTCTCTTTTCTCTTCACTTACCTGGGTTTTTATGTTTTCTTCTGTATTTAAAGAAATTAGGGTAAATTATTGTTAAATTACGAAAAAAAAACCCTTCGTGTTTGGTTAATTATAATCACTCATCAACTATGAATCTTTTTAAACGTCCATCTTTACAGTGTTAAATTTAACACTGTTTTCTAGATTCCATACAATGTTCTTTAGTTTGTGCTCGTTTTGTGCAAAAATGTAGTTTCTGATGCGACATAATCTAATATTTACAAACTAAAAGACACGGCGTATGATCATCTTGTTTCACAATGCAAAGCTCGGGTGGGATAAAATAGGTACAAACTGGAGAATCTCTGCCGTAATTTACCTAAGAAGATATTACAACAAAGATAATTACTATTTGACTTTTGACTTTAATATTGACTAGGTAAAATAAAAATATTTTCTTTTCTTATATGGGAAATTAGAACAATCTAGTTTTTTACTCATACAACTGTTAGTAAAATTTATGAAAGATTTTATCTTTATTATTAAAATTCAGAAACAAAATATAGTCGGTGCAGGGGTCAAAATTAAAATAATATTATTCTTGAAATTGAAGTAAATATTCTCATGATAATTAAGATGATTATAGTGGAAATGTGACTTGGAAACTCGGAAATAATTCTTTTTTTTAGTATACAAATTGCTGTAATATGCTCTAGTAAATCTCTTTAAATGATTTGCATTAATTATAAATGTGTCCGTTATGGGTAAAAGAGATAATTATTCTTACCATCCTTAGAAAAAAATGATTATTGAAATGTTTGCTTTGTCTATTTTTATGCATTTTATTATAAATTTCTCTAATATAATCTCGAACATATTACATCGAATAAAATACATCGAATAACATATTGCGGGAGATCTAGTTACATATGTAGTCAAAAAATTGACTGAAAAGCCGATTTACTCCTTGCACGTTTGCGGTTGCGTATTTTTTTAATTAAAAAAATAATGAAGTTAGGATAAAATAAACTTTGACAAGAAAACTATCGAGTTTTCGTGAATTTATATATACATTTCGTTAACACTAAGTTTTCAGTGAATTAAAAGAAATCCCAACTTCATATTTTATTCTCATTCGCTTAGTACTCTTTACTATATGGTGTGAATCGGACTGATTGGATCGAAATTAGTTCTTTCGAAAAAAATCAGTTTTTTTTTAAGTTAAAAAATAGTTCCAATTCGGTTAAAAAAATATCGGAAATAAATTTTCGAAAATAGGAATGACAAAACTTGTTCCACAATTGGAACATCTCAAATCGAAAATAGGTGGAATTCAGAAATTTCCAATTTTTAGTCACCTAAAATATAAAATACATAATAATATTGGAATTTTAAGTGTAATATTCAGAGGAAAAAAATCAGAATTTTCGGAACTTAAATCAAATTGGAAATTGAAATCTCATATATATTTCTATTCCTATTCAAATAATTTCAGAAACTCGAAAGTTAGATTTTTGAAATTCGGATTGAAAAATATTGTTACAAAATCGAAAAATCTCGGACCGAAATCGACAAAAATTGAAAATTTCATTCAAATTTCCACCACAACTCTTTCCTTTATTACGCGAATTAATTATGCAAATCAAATGATTAGCATCCATAGAACGCGATTATATGGTGTCCTTCTCATCACCATTACCAGCATAACATTACAATTTACCCACGCAAATAAATAAATAAAAAATGACTAATATGTAACTAGAATTTATAATTAAATTACTTTTTCTTAATAACACGATCACTAAGATGTTACATTCAATGAAATACATCGGGTGATTTTTAACTATTGATATAATGAAATAACGTTCCACTAAACACACATACACATAAGTGTGTGTAATTATATGCAGATCAACGATTACTAATCACCTAACATATTTCAGTCTAACACGGTTGCAGCAATAAATAGAAGGTGGAACTGACATCTCAGAGGAACCCATGTTGTGTTGAAGCTTTTCATTTCATTTTTTTATTTTATTTTAAATTTTCCTATATTACCCCAATTGTTACAAGTTATTAAATTGGAAATGTATGTTATATTGAAATGTATATAATTACTATACCCTAATGGTTTGTTGCTGTACCAGTCAAGTTAGGGAAAAAAATAAATGCAGCAATTGAATATTTGGCAGTGTGTATTTTGGGGTGGTCCATAATTATTATTTGGGCAGAAAGAAATTAGGCAGTACAAATTCATGCTTAATAGGACCACTCCCCACACCCCACAACTACTATATAAGCTGGGCCTCCCGGGAAATCATTTACCTTCGACCAAAATTTAAACCCCTCAATTAATAAGTTAGTATCTTTTTTGGTGCACTATCATTAATTACACGATTCCCGTTGAAAATGGTCGCAAGTTACGTCGATTAATCGTTGAATGTGAATCGATACTGATATAGGTGGAGTTTGTCACCCATGCATAGTTAATTTGGTCTGGTTTACGTTTCTCTCGTTGGTTCCTTCATTATAAAAGAAGAAAAAATCATGATATAGGGGCCAGTTATGGTTTGCATAACCGGCCTAAATCGAGAACCGGAAATATTATCTGGTGCATCGAACCATGGGTTGAACCGGCAGTTAAGTCGTCGGTGACAAGCCAAACCATCGAATTGGTGGTTCAAACAACCATATTATATTATTTTTGTATATTTTTTTTATTTAAAGAAAAATGTGAATCAGCCCGGAAACGCTAATTTCCCGGCGATTGCGGGTTCAATATTTCTTGATTATGTAACTGCGATCCCGTGGTTCCGAAACCGTGACCTACATATATATAATTATATATATATATATGATATATCATCACTTCCTAGAAAGAAGGTGTCTTATGTGCATAGAATAAAAATTAGCTAATGGTCCCCAAGTAAAAACCAGAATAATCAATAAATAGACGCATACTTCTAGTTTAAATGACTATCTTACCCTTTATGGTCACATTTTTGCAAACGACGCCGTTTATGACTTCAAAAAAAAATTATTGTATGATAGTTTTAAAATTATAATTAACTTTTATTAAGAAAGTTGGATTTCAACTCCTCAAATTGATTTGTTCCTAGAATGTCAATTTCCATTAGGATTAGGTCTTAAGTAATTTGTTATTATGGTAACTTTTTGTATTTTGTTAATTTAATTTTAATTTTAATTTTAATTTTAATAGGAACTTATAGTTCTGTTTTAAGCTTCTTCTTTTTTTGGCTTATGAAAACTAATTATAATAGTAAACATATGAAAATTGTAGAGATTTTGTAAAATTGACAGTGGACTTCTGAAAATTGAGAATGAGCTTTCGAAAATTGGAAATTGACTTGTGAGTTTTTTTTTTTTTTTTTTTTTTTTAAATGTGGCGATGAACTGTAAAAAAAAATAACTTCAAATTGAAAGTGGAATTTCGACTGTTTATAGAAGCTCTATTGTTAATCGAACGAATAACGTTTGAAGATACCTAGTTATTAGATAAGATGAAAATTGACTCAAACCGAGGTCGAACGTTATGGTGTAGCAAACGCAAATTTTCAACACGGCCAACACCTGTCGATGGTGAAGTTGTGTGAACGTCCGTTGTGTGATCAATGCACTTACGTGCTCGAAAGAGAACAACTCGACACATGGAGTTTTGAAATTGAAGAACGTATTTTTGTAGATAGATTTGGAATATAATGCGATGAACCTATCCAACCTATTGCTACGTGTTGCCAAATAAAACGTATATGTATATATTTTCTAAAAAAAAATCGAGTTGAGATTGAATCAATTAGCTGTAAAATATATTTTTAAAAATATCAAACTACTGAAACTCGATTGTTGGCTGAACTAATTCTAGTTTATTCGAATTCGCCATCAAAGTGAGCCTTTGGCATTAAAGCTAGGTTGGCTCGACCCGCATACTAGGCGTTGAGCACCTGCATTATGACCAATATTTAATACATAGATTCGTCTAATGGTTTATTTAGTTACCAATTCAATATAATACATATAAACTCGAGAAGTATGTTGGTTTATGTATAAGGGACTTGATAAACGCAGAACGAGTTTTAGTTAATGCAAGACTTTTTTTTTCTGATTTGAAGTTTTTAAATATCAACCACACATTTCAATTAATTTGCATCTGCTAAACATTCTTGTTTTTTCATCAGATGCAGTCTATCTGGATAAATAATTTATTTCGGACGATCAATAATCTGCACACACCTTTTTTTGTTGCTTTCTGCAATTATCAAAATTCAAAAGGAGTTTTATATTCGAATCTTGAACACACGGAAAAATCCAACTAAAACTTCAAACAAATGTGTATTATAATTTATTTTACTCAAAATATATATTTTTTTTAATCGAAAATATTCAGTTCAACAACACAAAGTTCTAACTACAAGCATCAGTAATAAAATTTACAGTCGCATTAAAAAAAATCTAAGGGGCCATTAATGCTATTATACACGAATTCGTTTATATCTATATATGTAATAATAGAAATTCGAGAAATGTAGGGGGCCATGGCCCCCCCTTGTTGCTATACTATGGTGTTGAGTATATTAAATAGTGAAATTTGATGAGGTACAATTATTGATAAATTGAGAATAGTGGGGTGGTCCTGTTAGATGCACAAATTGCAATGCGTCTAGTCTCAAAACCAGATGACTCCAATTTTACTAACGTTTTGGACAAGCAATTCAATAATTATTGTAATTTGTAATAGAATTGGATAAGCAATTTACGATTGCAACCTTTCTGGAATTTACTATCTTCATAATTTGTTCCCATCCCAAATTATATATACTACGAATGTGTCTATATATATATCCCCATAATTGTACACG